TTACGCCAAAATCTCTTTTCTATTACAACAATTCGAATTTGATAGAAAACTAGTACACTTTAATTAGAATTTATTCCTCGTGGGACGATATACGTAACTCATCGCGTGTTACTTGCGAAAGATCACATTCTCTTGTGGATTTCGCTGGATCAGAAGGCTTGCATGTATGAATTCATAGAGGACCTTTTAACTAAAATAGTTTCTATAGTATACTTTTATGTTTTAAGTGGCTCATTTTTTTATTTTATTTTTTTATCTTAATTTCTCGTTCACCCAAAATTGATTTCGAGCAACTGACTAAACTATACTCGTGAAGTAGAATATGTTCTGCCATCGAACTATCCTAACAGAATGACTAGTCCTCTTAATAATTGGTCAAAGTTGGTTAAAATAAATTTCTATTAACCTATTTCGAACATGAGTTACACTTAGCATGCTCTCACGAGATGGCATCTCTTATAGAAGACAAATTTTGGAATTCAATTGCTCGATTGATCTTTAGACCGATCGAATTTCTCATTTGAGCTCATTGCATTTCAATACTACATTGAATTTTTTAGTTTCATATTATAGGGTTAACTTTACAAAGCGATGCCGCCCAAACCTTTAATTCGGAATCTGATTCTTCACAAGTGCTATGGGATGATTCCAAAACAAATCACAAAAGGAAAGACGTATAGAAGTCTTGGTGAAGATGTCGTCGACGATCCAAAGGTTTAGGAGGAAGAAAGAAAGAACAACCCTCGGTAGTAGCATGTAAAACAAAAGTAGTACTGATTTATTACATTATTACAAGGCCTTTATTACAGAAAATTCTTTGAAGTTCATACTTCATAAACATGCTTTTTTAATTCAACTATTCAAAAATTCCTTATTAGCACCAGACTTGTTCATGCCGCTTGGGACGGGAGGGAAACATTGGCAATTTGCATTGATGCACTTTGGCGCTCCAATTCCCCTACAACTGTTGATGCAATCATCGTCCCTCGTACAATGGAAAACAACCACGTTTCTTGCTTTGACATCGAGTAAAACACCTGCATTCTTAAACACAGAATTGAATTAGTATATGCGCATACATACGTGAGATCATATCATGCACATGAATATAGAAAAAGTGATATAGACGAACATGACTCAATCACCAAGAGCGCAAGAAGAAAGCTTAACATTTTCGAATCCATGTTTCTAGAGATTATATTTAATTATAATTATAACAAAAATCTTGACCATATTTATAGGCTAAGCATACAAATACGTTTCATTCATCTAAAGGTAGAAACTATCAAAATCTTGAAAGATTGAGTAAGAAATTCATGTAATCTTTGAAATTTTTACTCACTTTCATTTATTTAGTCTCAGCTTACCAATTAAGCCATTCGTTATATGGGAAAAAATTAGCAAAATCACAATAACTTTAGCAAGAAATCAGTGCAATTTTTGAAATCCCCATCCACATTAATTAATTTGAGAACCCTTATTATGAAAATCTAACATTATGCATATTTTAGATTTTATAAATCAGATTAATGCTGCAATGACTTATCAAAAGTAATGAATTAAATGAGGAA